TTATTTCTGCTAATACCTACCTCTAAGGTAGTAACTTGGACAAGTCATTTCATGACTCTCTTAGTTTTCATGCTTATAAGAAGGGAATAATGGCACCTACTTTATAAGGTTATGCATGAAAATGAGAGCCTGTATAAGTACTGAGCATAATGCCCACATAGTAGGCTCCGACAAAATGTGCTGATTGACAGACAGACTTTAAAAGATCTTTAAAAAGCACTTAAAAAAAAAAAAAAAAAAGAAGTTACATTTCTAGATATGTGTGAAATACTAAGCATTGTATTCACTTTATAATGGTTATTAAAGAAAGAATAAGATACTTTGTACAAGATCAATTTGTATCTAAAAACATGTCATAGGGACACCTGGGTGGCTCAGTAGGTTAAGTGGCTGCCTTTGGCTCAGGTCATGATCTCAGGGTCCTGGGATCAAGTCCCGCATTGGGCTCCTTGCTCAGCGGGGAGCCTGCTTCTCCCTTTGCCTGCTGTTCCCCCTGCTTGTGCTCTCTCTCTCTCTCTGACAAATAAATAAATAAATAAAAACATGTCATAATTTAGTAATCCTGATTGTGTGTCAGTTCTACCATTCTGCAAATCTGAGACAGAAGGTAGGCGTGCTATATTAAGGACACTATGTTATGTGATGCTTTCCAAATTTGTTTTCAAGTCCCATAATGGTCTTATAAGGAAGTACCAAGTCAATAATGTAATAATAGAATACGCTCAACCAACAAGAAAAATTGGGGAGATTGGTCAGTAAAGGTTTTTTTTTTTTTTTAAAGATTTTATTTATTTATTTGAGAGAGAGCACATGAGAGGGGGGAGGGTCAGAGGGAGAAGCAGACTCCCTGCTGAGCAGGGAGCCCGATGCGGGACTCGATCCAGGGACTCCAGGATCATGACCTGAGCCGAAGGCAGTCGCTTAACCAACTGAGCCACCCAGGCGCCCGGTCAGTAAAGGTTTTTAAATGTGGTTCCTAAAGACACCTGTGTATGCCTATTTTTTTTTTTTCTAAATATTTTTTTTTTTTAAAGATTTTTTATTTATTTATTTGACAGAGACACAGCGAGAGAGGGAACACAAGCAGGGGGAGTGGGAGAGGGAGAAGCAGGCTCCCTGCTGAGCAGGGAGCCCGATGTGGGACTCGATCCCAGGACTCCGGGATCATGACCTGAGCCGAAGGCAGTCGCTTAACCGACTGAGGGACTCGATCCCAGGACCCCGGGATCATGACCTGAGCCGAAGGCAGTCGCTCAACCGACTGAGCCACCCAGGCGCCCTGCCTATTTTTTTTTTTTTAAGATTTTATTTATTTGTCAAAGAGAGAGAGAGAAAGAAAGAGAGCGCACAAGCAGGGGAAGTGGCAGGCAGAGGGAGAAGCAGGCTTCCTGCTGAGCAAGGAGCCCACTGCAGGACTTGCTCCTAGGACCCTGGGATCAAGACCTGAGCCGAAAGCAGACACTTACCGACTAAGCTACCCAGGTGTCCCTGTGTATACCTATTTCTTTCTATTTTTTAATTTTATTTATTTTTTAAGGTGGGGGAAGGGCAGGAGAGAAAGAGGGAGAATCTTAAGCAGGCTCCAAGCCCACTGCAGAACCAGACAGGGCTCAACTTCACAACCCTGAGATCATGACCTGAGCCAAAATCAAGAGTCAGACACTTAACCGACTGAGCCACCCAGGGGCCCCACCTGTTTCTTTTAATAAAGTCACTGTGGGAGCATGCCTGCGTGCACATGTGCATCTTCTCTCTCTCTCAAATAAATAAACCAATCTTTTTTTTTCTAAAGATTTTATTTGAGAAAGAGAGAGAGGGAACACAAACAGGGAGTGGGGGGCACAGGGAGAAGGAGACTCCCCTGCTCAGCAGGGAGCCTGACTCAGGGCTGGATCCCAGAACTCCGAGATCATGACCTAAGCTGAAGTCAAACGCTCAACAGACTGAGCCACCCAGGTGCCCCGGTCTTGCTATTTTTTCAACATGTTAGGTACACTCCTGCTTTGGGAGTTCTGCATGGCTTTCCTCAGATCTTCCCATGGCCTGCTCCCTCACCTTTTTCAAGTCTTTGCTGAAATGTCACTCTCGATGAGCCTTATCTTGACCATCTTATCATAAACTGCAAACTACCCATAGCACTCCCAATCCCCCTTACTCACTCTACTACTTTTTCCTAGCACAATCACTAGACAATTTACTAACTTGTGTTTATTGTTTATCTGGTCTTCTCCTTGCAAGAATATAAACTCTGAGTGAGGGATTTTTGTTTACTGATGCATCCCAAAGGCTAGGACAGAGTGGCACACGTGGGTATCAAATAAATATTTGAGGATACAAACAAATTTAACAAGGTCCCTCGTATCCTAGAATGTGCTCACAATCTGGTTGAAAGTCAGCGTATATACACTAAAAGATATTAGCATGTGCTGACAAGTACCAAAAGAAGATACTGTTTTAGGATATTACACATGACAAATGAAAGCTCAGAGAAGTGCCACAGAAGCTTAGAGAGCTAATTTAAAAAAATTTTTTGTGCGTGTGGGGGTGCCTGGATGGCTCAGCTGGTTGGGTGTCTGACTCTTGAAAATCTGATGAAAGCTACACACCCCAGTGATACAATGAACATGTACACAGAAGTTTAATACTACTAGGAGTTCAAACACTCCCTGGGGCCAGCCTTGAATGCTGAATAGAGAATCCTTGGTTTCAAGTATGGTTTTTAGGCTTGGAAAGGCTTGATGAAGATGAGACTTAGCTAGTTCTTAAAGAACAGAGTATGAAGAGGAAAGGAAATGAAGGGCTTTCTAAGGAGATAAGGGTGCCAGCAGAACAGTTTGACTGTAATGGGGGATTTACGTAGTAAGTAAGAATAGGCTGTGAATTGCTTGGTGTGACTTAAACAGTATGGTTATTGCAAGTCTTTGGATAAGAGAATGTAATGTCTAAGGCACTGTTGTTGTTTTTAAGATTTCATTTATTTATTTGACAGAGTGACAGAGAGAAAGAGAGAGAGCCAGCGAAAGCACAAGCAGGGGGAGCAGCCGGCAGAGGGAGAGGGGGAAGCAGGCTCCCCAAGACAGGGCTGGATCCCAGGACCCTGGGATCATGACCTGAGCTGAAGGAAGATGCTTAACCGACTGAGCCACCCAGGCGCCCCTCTAAGGCATTGTTTTAAGAAAATAAAATTTGGTAGTTGTTTACAGGAGGAAAGTTGAGAGAAAAACTAAAATCAAGGAAATCATCCACAAAGCCGCCATTATATAATGATTCAAGTCCGAGAAAATGGAAAAGAAAAGGGAACTAAGCAGGTTTGGAGATGGATGGCTGTGGGACGGCAGTCCACTCAGAAATGCCTGGCGTGACAGTGACAATTAGAAATGAACTGCATTTAGGTCAGTCCCTGTTATATAAATTTGGGGTATTATTTATTGAATCCTTGAGTGTGTGTGTGGGGGGGAACTACAAGAGAAAAACATACTAAGAATAGAGATTATTCAAAGGCTCTGAATGGGATAAAGGGGACAGCCTATTATTATTGTGATAATATGTTGAATTTATATAGAATAAAACCTTAATAGAAAGCCTGAGGCATACAGGTATTATTGTTAATTGAGGTTAATTGTGGTTAATTGAAGGCTAATAAAATTTTTTGTCTTCATTTTTGCTTGCCGAGCTTTTTTTTTTCCTTTTCTCCAGAAAGTATTATGCTTTATTCCCCCTTGATAACCAGGGAACACAGCTGGATTATTTTTAGAGGATTCAGGATGTCACTATCCCTCAAGGTGATCATTATAAATACATATTTTCATTGTAAAATAACACAGAGAAAATTGGGATACCCGTGGCGACCACAGTACACATCCTGGCATTTTAAAAGACTTTGATATCTATTTGACTTTTAGAGAAAGGAGATAACATCAAAACAATTACAACCAAAAAATTCAGCTATTTAGGTGTCTAATAAGTAGGATCTTGCTGTTTTTTGTTTCTGTTTTTTTTTGCCACCATGAACAAAGTATACAAGCTGTTGGTGTCAGATGCATTATTATTACATCATTGGCAGTACCTACTTGCTTTGTAATAATAAGATGTTTGTGATTCAGCCTCCTCTACTGTAGAACTTAGCTCCATCTACTAATTTTGCGACCCTCCAGCTATGATTTGAATTTAAGGAAATAGTTAATTCTTGGTGTAACAAATGTTGGCTCCCCCCCTCCCCCCGGAATTCTCCCAGAAAGTTTCTGTCGCTTTAGAAACGTTCTTATTCTAGTCAAAAACCCAGGTATAAAATAGTGCCTGTCCTTCCATATCTAGATCTAGCAGTTTACGCACACAACTCTGCCTAGTAATCTCGCAGATCCTACTCAGCCTTTTTCTTTTTAATCAATGGCCTCTACTCGTCAAGCTATTGAGCAAGACCAGTGACTCCTGCTTCGATTGGGTCTCTGGTTCCGAAAGCCACTGCCTGACCCGACGCTTCCCCTTTTCTCTAAACACTTGGTGAAGACAAACTTAAGAAACAGAAGTGCCAACACAACCTACTTTGCTCCACATTAGCAATGTTCTCCACCGACAGGCATCCAGAGAGCCGACTTCCAAAGACACGCGCTGTGTGTCCACACGTACAGCGTGCTCTCCCCCGGCCCCACCTAAAGAAACGCCGCGAAGCGGGAAACTGAGGCCCCTCGGTACCTTCTCGGAAACCGGCTCCGGGAGGCGCTGAGGGGCTCCCCGACGGTCGCGCAGGTGGCCCAGGGCGGGCCTGGGGGAGGGGCTCCCCCCAGCCTCGGGGCGCCCCCGCATCCTCCCGAAGGCAGAACGCCGGAGCTCCGGTGCTCGGCTCTCGGCACCCCACGTGCAGACCCTGCACGGGGGGGCTGCCCTCTCCCTCCGCTCCTCGGGGTCCCGGGGCCCCTCAGGGCGGGGCCGAGGGACTTGAGGAGGCCGCTCGAGTTCACCTCTGCGCTCCCGACCACAGACCTGCCGTGGCTTCGGCTTACCGGCTCGGCCCCGGGGGTGGCGGGGAGGCGGAGGCGGCACAGCTAGCCCGACCCCCGACCGCTGCTTTCCCCACCTGTACGGCCACGGGGCGGCCCCGAGGCCGCGCCAGGGGGAGGGGCATGCGGACGCCCAGCCGCGCGGAGAGCGCCAGGTGAGCACGCCTGCGCAGTCGGGCTGTAAACAAGCCCGCCCCTGCCCCTCGGCCGGCCTCCGCGGGGACGACTCGCGAGTGGGAGGGGCCAGGAGGAAGAGGCGGGGGAGGGGGGAGAGAACAAGAGCCCGGGACGGCGCCTGCGCGGTGGGCGTGATCCGGGCACTTAGGGCAGGATGAACGCTGCTTTCCAAGATGGCGACGGAGGGAGGAGGGAAGGAGATGAACGAGATTAAGACCCAATTCACCACTCGGGAAGGTTTGTACAAGCTGCTGCCGCACTCGGAGTACAGCCGGCCCAACCGGGTGCCCTTCAACTCGCAGGGATCCAACCCCGTCCGCGTCTCCTTCGTAAACCTCAACGACCAGTCTGGCAACGGCGACCGCCTCTGCTTCAATGTGGGCCGGGAGCTCTACTTTTATATCTACAAGGGGGTCCGCAAGGTACCGACCCGGGCGTCACTGGGGCCCGCCAGCGGCGTGGGCAGAGGCCGGGAGCAGGGCGGTGACAGTGGGGGCCAGGGTGACCGATAGGAGTGGCGGTCGCTCTTACTTTTGAGTGGGCCGGTAACTCCACTGGGGTGCTCCTGAGGAAGGGGGATTCACGAGTAAGGAGGGTGGTGTTTCGAAGGGGTGGAGGCTGTGGAAAGGGACCGTGGGGTGCGGGGTTCCGTCGGGGAGGCCCCAGAACGGGCCGACTGCCTTCTCTCTGGCAGGGTCCGTCAGGCTCTGAAACGGCCAGGGAGCGGGCCTGCGAGTCCCCGGAAGAGGTGGGGTGGCCGTCTTGTCTGCTTAGACTGCCTCGCCTCCCGGGAGAGTTGGGAGTCTCGCTCCGGGTTAGAGAACAGGGGCGCGGGCGGCTTGGGAAGGTCTGTAAGGCGGAATCCGGGCTGGAGGCGGAGGACTTGAGACTAGGTCAGAAAGGACCTGCTCGGAACCAAGGGCTACTCCACTGCACTGACACTTCCTAGGAGCCTCTCTTTCTGGTGTTAACACTTTTCCCAGAAACATCAGGAGGAAGGCTGTCACTTTCTCCGCCAGGGAACCTTCTCCTGAGAGATTGTTAAAGAGGGTCATCTTGGCCCTTATAGTATGGGAAAGACTGAGTACTACAGTTGGGAGGTCGAAATGATGTTTTCAGTGAACTAAGCTGGCTGGTTCATAGGGGTTCTGTGTGAGCGTGCCCAGATCATTCTTGTCCAACAAGTCAGACTATGTCCCAAACAGGGAGGCATAAGCCTTAAAAGCTACTTTACAAGATTCATTTTTTTTGTTGGCGGGCGACTTAACATTAATTCTGTGAAGCATATAATCATCCTTTAAAAATATCTCTTCAAAAGAAGCAACTTATTAGAGCTTTTCCTTTATTGGCTATGTAACTATGTTCTCATTGAGAACTGCTTATTTTTGAGAAATGTGGTCTTTGACTTGACTTTTGGAAGAGTGAGGAAATTGATGCGTCCCACAGCACCTAGGCATGGAAAAAGGTGGTAACATTAATTTATAAATGTTTGGTTAGTGTGAAAGCAAATTGTACATACTGAAGAGTGAACATTCTCTAGGATGTAATATATCCAGAAGCAGTAAGTTTTTCGTTGGTTTCAAGAACTAGGGACATGACAGTAGTATCCAGAAGTAGCAAGCTGTCTCATTTGTTCAAGGTGCATCTTTTTGGTTACTGTTTGTGATAAGCGCTCTATTGTGTTTGAGGTATGCTGTTGTTACTGAAAGTAAATCACTTGATTTCGTTTTTTCTTTTTTGTAATTGGGAAAGTGTGAGGTAGTTAGTAGTCTAGGAACTGAAGTTTTAGTCCTGCTCCCAACTTTTTTGCTGACTTGTTGGGTGACCTTGGATGAGTTCTTTAACTCCTGTTTGCTTCTCATTAAAAAGAGAACATTGCAGTACTCAAGTTGTAATTTATAATATACTAACTCTGATGAACTTTAAAGCTTGAAACACTCGGTAGATGTAAAATATGGTTAAAATAAGCATTAAGAGTGTCAAACAGGAAGCTGCTATCTTGCCACTGTTCCTAGGACTGAAAGGATCAACTTTTTCTCTGGAAATAAGTTTAGAATTTTAAGTTACTAAAATTTATATAAAATTTTAAACGTGCCTAACAGCTGAATTTATCAGCAATTACTAGTGCCAACGTTACCCTTGCAGCCTTGGTTTGCATCATCAAAACAGGTCTCTTGCCTGGAAGTATCATAGTTGTGTTCTCTTAGTTGGGATGCTATTTGATGAAGGTGAAAAGTAGGAGAGCTTTTCAAGACCACACTCCAAAATTATTTTAAACAAGAAAAATCTTAAACATGTAGATTTGTCTTTGGCTACATAATTAATTTGAGCACTGTAACTTCTTTTGTAAAATTTCATTTGCATGCGGTAACATCTTACAGCATTGTATGGTGGACATTTTAGTTCTCTTCTAGCCATTGTAATTTTTTTTAAAAATTGTTTTTCATGAATGAGTTTGCATGTATTTATTGTTATTTCTGAGTATAAGTGATTGTTTTTGAGACTGTCTTTTCTGATTTTAAAATGGAGCAGATAATTTTCCTTACTCAGAAAACCAAAATTTACTTTTTGGGATTAGGAGTTATAACTCTGTTCTTGACAGTTGGTCATTGTGACTGTTGTTACTCATTTTTTTCATTGGGAAATACAAAGTTTTACAACAGTCATTTGGATCATTCAGAAGGTCTAATTTGGATGCATACATTCGACTTAAATCTGCCTGTAAAATAAGTAGAAAATAGGTCTTTGAGAAACTTAAATCATGAACTATGTGCTGCCATTCCTGAGAGGAAGTATGGAGTCATGGGGGAATGGAGTGGTTGAGGAGGTAGTCTCAAATGTGAGGCAAGGAGTGGCCCTTTAAAAAGATGTGCAGGTCAGTGTCTAGAGCTAGAGGGGACCTTTGAGTTTTGCAGTCTCACCCTCGTGGAGAAAACCAAGGCTAGAGAAGGAGTGCAAACCTGTGTTACAGTTTTTTTTTTTTTCTTCTTCTCATGGTCAGGAAAATGAAGCAAGCTGAATCTAAAGAACTGTCATAGTGAGAAGGGACCGATCAAGCTTTTTGATCGCACGGATGCCATATCCTCCAACCATTTCAAGATCTGCCCCAGCATTTTGCCATATATTTTCTCATCGAATCTTGATAGCAATCCTGTGAGGTACAAGAAAGCATCTTCTTTTCACAGTTGAAGTTCGGAATGGAGTTTCTTGTGTAAGGAAATGTAGTTTTATGAATTTATTTTGCTTAACTGAAGATAATATGAGCATTGATTTAACACTGACACTAATCATTTCAGCCAAGATTTTAGTGACTACAGTGGTGATAATTATACCAGGTGGGGTATCTACAGTAGAGTATGACCCTATCCTTCTCTCCAAAGAAATATCAATTCCTAGCCTTTAAGCCTTTTTTTTTTTTTTGAAGGTTTTATTTGTTTGAGAGAGAAAGAGCAAGAGAGCACAAGCAGGGGGGTGCGGCAGAGGGAGAGGGAGAAGCAGACTCCCCACTGAGCAGGGAGCCAGACGTGGGGCTCCGTGCCAGGACCCCAGGATCATGGCCTGAGCCAAAGGCAAACGCTTAACCGACTGAGCCACCCAGGCACCCCTAGCCTTTAAACCTTTTTATAGAATACTTGGCATTCCTTTTCTTATTTTTTTATTTTACTTTATTTTTTTTAAGATTTAAGATTCCCACAGGCTGGTTTTAGATTGACACACACAGAGAGAGGGAGAGAGAGAGAGAGAGTGAGAGAGGGAACACAAGCAGGGGGAGTAGGAAAGGGAGAAGCAGGCTTCCCGCTGAGCAGGGAGCCTGATGCGGAGCTTGATCCCAGGACCCTGGGATCATGACCTGAGCTGAAGGCAGATGCTTAACCACTGAGCCACCCAGGCACCCCGGCTTTCCTTTTTTTTTTAAAAAGAGGTTGTTTTAGGATAAAGATGCCAAAGGTAGCTGGGTTTATTGGACCAACCCTTTCATTTTATGAGATCTGTTTTTACATAAATGTGAATGGCCACCGTTCAGATCCCAGCTTAAACATCACTTCTGTAGTATATCCTGCTTTGAATTCCCAGGCTATATCAGTTTTCCTTACTACATGTTCTCATAGCATCCTGAACTTTGCCTTTCTAGCACTTTTCTCAATTTGTAATTCTCTGGGTGATAATCTTTTTTATGAACAAAGCTCCTTTAGAAGACAGACCATGTGTTTTCTGCTTTCACTATTTTCCTAGTGCCCAGCACAGTGTCCAGCATAAAATAGGCCCTTAGTACTTATTTGTTGAGTGAATGACTGGATAAAGTATCAGTGTCCATCTATGCCATACTTTTAATTAATTAATTAATTAAAGTAGGCTCCATGCTGACATGGAGCCCAACACAGGGCTTGAACTCACGACCCTGAGATCAAGACCTGAGCTGAGATCAAGAGTGGATGCTTGACTGACTGAGCTACTCAGGCGCCTCATATGTCATACTTCTAAAAAGATCTTCACGAGCTAAAGAACCTATTTAATTTTGGGCTTCCAAGTAATGGGTATTTTTAGTGGCTCACATCTTTGTAAAGACATTTTAAAATTATTGTTAGTAGGTAACAAATTTAGCTTTCTTACAACTGGGAAATTATATAGCAAGAGACCATGAAGTAATAGAAAGTAACCAAGTGACACATTACTTTTGATCTGTTTCTATCAAACCATGTTACCTACCAAATCTATGTACTAACAGATAACTTTTAAAAACTATACTTAGAACTACTTAACATTAAAGAGACATTTTTCCCCCTCCCATCTTAAGATTCTGGGACACAAATGTGTTGCCCAGAGATGTTATTGAAGCAATTCCTACCATAGAAGGGAGAGGAGTAGAATTAGATGGCTTCCAAGGCCTTTTCACAGCTCTTAAGGTTGTAGGAGTCTGTGCTCAATAGTTTTTTATGAAAATAAATCCATCTTTCTACTGGGAAGATGTCTTCATGTCTTGGATTTATTGCCTACTCATTGAATGGGAATTGAGGAGTGGGGTGTATTGTGAAAGCAAGTGGAACATGTGATTCTAGGTCTTTATGCTAGAAAAGGCTTTGTACTCATTGTGTTGACATGAAGCTGGGGCCAGAAGAAGAGTCATATAATAACAGCTCAAATATTTTCAGAGCCAGAATTAACCAGGAGTGCAATGGGTTGACTTGGGAGAGAATGAGCATTCTGTGTGGGAGATAATCTGTCTCTCTCAAAGACTGCAGGACCACCTGTCAGTGACTGAGGAATTCATGCTTTGTGTGGGAGGGTGACCTAGAAGCCTTTCAAAGGTTTTTCCCACAGGCTGGTTTTAGATTCTGGCCTGCTCCAGAGAAGGTCACGTTCACACCCTTCACTACATTTGTAATTCTCACATCTCTCTGCTACCCATTTCTAGTTTAGAAAG